CCGTAGAGTGGGGAGTGGCAGTGAAGGGAAAACTTTGCCGGAACTGGGCTTCATGAGCTGGTAGCTTCCCTAACTCTGTCAACAAACCATTAAACTAAAACAGAAAACTAGGCCAGTGGTAACATTCTCCTCTCCTTTCACTTGATGGTCTCTTCACTTAGTGCTTCACTAAATAAACATCCCCTCTGAGTTTATGCTCAAATCAGACACTCATATTTGTTCAGGATTTATTCATGTTTATACTGGAGATATGGCTACTACCTGAGAATACAGCACACAGGGGGCATTTAACTTGAAGTCACATGGAAACAGGCTTAGTCATGCTTGTGACAGCAAAAGGCCAGCCCACAGAACCTCTGGTAAAATGTTCAATAAATATATAATAAAATACCTTGTCTATATTTGATGTTGTATATATAATTATGTCTATGGTTTGTATTTTATGTGACATAATGAATGGTAATCACATATAATATGTATTAATTTTTACCAAATATGTGAAATAAAACATTAGTTCCAAATCCACGAAAAGAAATAACATTAAAGACCATTGTCAAGAACCAAGGAAACACTGCCAATAATTTTACACTAAGATTTAAGTTCTGAGGCTACGGGCCTTGTCTACAAAAAACTAGGGACAAGATGACAGGATGTACTATCAACATTTAAACTGGAACTTGCCCAGCAGGGATATCTTTTCAGGTTTTGCTCTTCTCATTCCACAGTTTATATCTGACCACAGCAACAGGTGTATGGAAAGGGAAACGTGATCCAAAGGGCAAAGGCCACTTCCTCCTTCTGTCTTACGCACTGGCTTGACTGGCAATGTGATTACAGGGCCCCTGGCATGTGCACTTGGGCAGCTCACAGCAGCTGTCCTGAAACTTGGCCACACATAGCTCTTTGGCAGGTGTTTGGCTCTGTGTTTCTGCAATGCCCAGCCTGGCCCAGCCGTTAGCAGGAGAATCCAAGGACAATATTCCCAAAGCGTACTAGGCAGTATTTTGGCACCTACTACAGGATGGATAAACAGTGGATCACAATGCCTTCTTCTATTTCACAGGCTAGAGGGGAAAACAAATATTCAGTACTCTCAAAACAAATGTAAATTATAAAATATGAAAAGTAAAAGGTCTGAAAAGAACAGCCGTGAGAATATAATCTCAACTAGAAAGATCTGGAAAAGCTTTTCTAAAAAACGGACAGGGAACCTTAGCCCTGAAAGCAGAGACAATGAAACCATGGAGTGTGGAGAAGGAAATCCCAGGCAGGAGAAACAGTGTGAAGGACCAAGGGTGATGGGATGGGATCAAGGATGGATCTTAGAACAAATAAAAAGAAGGCCAAGGCAAGGATGGTATGAAGTATGGGAAAGGTGGTGACAGAAAGACTAGTGACAGATTACAGCTGGGAATTTAGATTTACATAGGGTACAATGGGGCACAATCCAGAGTGTTATACTGAAAGATTTCTATTCTCTAATTTGTTTTCTTTCTTTCTTCTTCTCCATTTTTTTTTTAAATCACTATGATTCATTTGCTGCAAATAGATTGGAAGGGAAACATTGCAAAAGGACTAAAGAGACCTCAATGATTTAGGAAAGAATGCAGTTAGTGGACATGTGGAAACACTGAAGTAATTGAGATGTACTTTGGTAATCAGCTGTATGTGATGGAGAAAAGAAGTGTCAAGATCAATTTCTAGATTTCTGTTTGAACCCATCGGAGGGCAGAGATGCAATTTCCTAGACTGAGAAAACTGGACCATGACCAGTTTGGGGCAGGTTGTTGTGGGAAGGCAAGCAGAAAGTCAAGATCAGACTTTAGCTATGGATGCGTTCAATGGGAAATAACTGTGCGGTGTCTTGAGTAGAGATGTCAGGGGACTGCAGGATGAGTCAGAAGTTCAGAAAAGCATCATGAGCTACAGACATGTGTATGATCAGAGAGAGAAGAGTAATAGAAGGAAAACCATAAGAGGGTGATGCACAGAGCAAAGATGAGGAGGAGGGAGAAAGCAGATTATAGGAGCTGTCCCTCTAGTGAATGCTGCTCAGGAGTATGATCACAAGAGAACTGAAAAGCAACCTGTCGCCTGGGAAGCACTGAGGCCTTCCGTAGTCTTAAAATGAGAAAACTATTGGATTAGTGGAGGTTTAAGCCAACTGCAATGAAAAGAAAGGTTAATTTGGAAATGAAGGAGAAGAGAGATAGTGTACCCATAAAATTGTTTGAAAAGTTTATCTATAGCAAAAAGGGGAGAGATAAGGTAGAAATTTATTTTCATATTATAGGATAGTAGCTCATTTTTAAATGACCATAATTTTTTAAATGATACTGGTGGCATGACAACATCAGAGTGCAACAAACTCACGGGGTTTGTGCAGAAGGACTGATTGAAGGCTTGAGAAAGTGGGATGGGATGGCACTCCTAGTACATCCATAAGGACTGATCTTTGATGAGAGGAGAGCACCTTCCTTGGTAGTGAGAAGACTGGATGCTTCCAATTTCTCACTGAAGCAGGTGGTGAGATCATTTCTAAGCCAGTGGGAGGAAAATGGGCCAGAGATTTGAAGAAAGTGAAGGTACAAAATAGCTGTGTCATAAAATGGCAGAACAAGCTTATGTGAGAATCATAACCATGCTGCCAAGCAGTGCTGAGTCTCTATTTAAGACTGTTTTTCAAGAACAGTGTAACATCATCTAGCCCAGCCTTTGTTTCCACTCCCCTCATCACTTTCTGGAGCCCCTTACCCAAAGCCAGTTTCTACCATTTTTCACACTATGTGATGACAGACAATAATAATTCCACCTGCTGAGACCATCTAATCCCCCAACAGCTGCATGAGCGGGTACTATACTTTAGGCCCCTGCAGTCCTCTTTCCTTGCATAGCTTCTGTCAAGCCACCAAAACAAAACAGAAGGAATGGGGGTGGCTTCTTCGCCTGTTTCTGCTTATGTTCCTGGAGTTCTTCTCTACCTTGGGTCTGGAAAACATGGCAATTTCCTCAGGAAGTGAGATTTAGCATTGACTCAACTTGCGTCACTTTTTTGCAGAATTGATACTCATGATGGACAAATAGAATTTGTAGGCTGTGCCATTAGTGAGCTATACAGAGTCAAATAACTAGATGCGCAAGGCAGAGGATTCGCAGGGAGCGCAATACCTCATTCCTATGTCCCACAAACTTTTTAACATGACATAAACAGTAATACTTTACAGCAGCATTACTTAAGTAGTATTCACTAATATATGGTATTAATGCCACAGTATGAATACTAATGCTATAACACTATAGTATTGATATAATGCTATAGTATAGCTAATTTACTAATGCTACTGTATTAGTAAATACTCCTTGAATTAAGCAATACTGTTGTAAACTAATAAATGCCCAAACAAGACATCTGATGCCTCCATCAAAAGTTTCTAGCTGTATTGCTGGGCACATTGGCACATGCCTGTAATCCCAGTAACTTGGGAGGCTGAGGCAGGAGGATTGTGAGTTCAAAGCCAGCCTTAGCAAGAGCAAGTCACTAAGCAACTCAGTGAGACCCTGTCTCTAAACAAAATACAAAATAGGGCTGGGGATGTGGGTCAGTGGTTGAGTGCCCCTGAGTTCAATCCCTAATAATCCACCCCTCACAAAATGTTTCTGACTATATCAATGCAGAGTCTGAAAAACATAAGCTATTAAATGAATCCCACTGCACTGCAGATTTAGAAAACCAATCCTTTGACTTGCTGTGAGCTTCTAAAGAAAAACATACTGACTACTCAAATAGATTTTTTACTATTTCAAAGGCTGGAGGGAGAAAGAGCACACATGAAGTTTAATATGATGGATTGGAAGTCCAGCATGAGGAAGTAACCTCTTGAGCTAAAGCCAACCCCACAAAGTTTAATGTGAAGCTGTGCAGTTTAATTTTGACACGTAGGCAACCCAAAAATTCATGTGTAGTTTTTAATGCAACTTCCATTTCTGACAATATCATTTTGAGCTCATTCTTTGGCACCAAGATCAAATGCCCTTATTTATAGGCTCAAACACATAAGAGCCTAAAAAGGAAGTCACATTCAGCAGAAATTCTTTCCACACATGACCATTAGTATTTACTCAAATAGGAACATTTTACTTTTTCTCAGCTTAGTAGAGAACATGATGGGTAAGAAAAAACGTGCTAGAGCTCATTTGCTTTTTATTTTCTAAAATCAAAATTTTATTTTTAATATCAGGTTTAGTTAGCTGTAGCTAAATCATAATGAAAGAAATTTATAATATTCTCAGAGGGAAGGAAAAATTGAAACAGACAAACTAACATCTAGAATTCTAAAATCTGCAGGTAATTTTCCATATTTCCCCTAGTAGATATCAGCTAACATACAGGTTTGTGGCCCAAAATATATACATAAGACCTCATCCAAGCTAAGTGTCACTGTGTCTCATAGACAATTTTCACTTGGCAGTGTGTGAGAACCCCCTGAAAACTTCAACATATTTTTCAAAGAGCAGTGCACTTGCATTGGAGACAATAGCAAGGCAAGACAGGTAACATGAATGGCTCCCATTTATCTTTTTAATAGAAAGGAAAATAAAAAAAAAGAGGCAACCTTATTTGAATATGCCAAAGCCTACCTTACAGGGCAACAGTGATTAAGAAAAAAAAAAAAAAGCTCATTATACTTTAAAAAAAAAGGAAAAAAATTCTTCTAAAAATGAAACAGAAAAGCTGATGGAAAAGTAAAAAGCAACTCACCTCAAATAGAATGAGCTGCCACGAAATATCAGGTTGCAAATCATTCATATGGGCTCTGCTTTCTCTGCCTCACCTGCCCAGTACCTGACAGTATTGTGACAATATGAGATCTAGAACTTTTCTATGGTGCTGTTATCTCCAGGAACATGACACACAAATCCAAGAATATGGTAATTCCATTTAGCATTTAAATTCACAGCTTTAACCATAAGAATTGCATTCAAATATAATTTTCTTTTACCTTGGTCTTTTCACCAACAATGTTCTTTTCCAGTTCTGCTATTTTCCGGTTTAGATGATCCAAAATCTCCTTCTCCTTCATAAGTTCAGTTGTTTCGGATTTCTGCTCTCCATCCAAAAGAGCACATTCCATATCCAACTAAGGACATAAAACAAAACTCAGAAACATTTCACCTTCAGGAATATTCTCAACTGCCCACTGCATTGGCACAGTTTAATAGATAATGATGTCAAAAAATACTACCATATCAACCAGATTGTAGGACACAGAGAGCACTCCAAAGAGCCCATGTGAGACTCAGGATTTTCTATATAAGAAAATTAGAGAGCCCAGAGTGTATTTGCTAAGAAATCTAGCCATCCTGTCACTTAACTTTTCTAGTACAACCCCCTTTCTGCTTACTTTTCAGAGATATTTTGCTATTTACTTAGATTCAAGCACAATCCACATTGGAAATAGCCTTGTCACAAACCACATTGAGAACAGCCTTGTCTTTGTCCTTAGGGCACAAGGAGTGAAAGTTACTCCAGCCCAGCACTTGGGCTCTGCATTCCTAACAATGCTGGCAGGAGGGGCTTCCAGGGTCTATGCACAAGATGACAGGTGAGCAGTCCCCTTACTCCTCTCTGGGGCTATTGACATCATCTGTAAGTGCAGACATGCAGATCCTCACCAGGAATAATTATGTGCTCTCACTCCATGACAGAAACATAAAATTGCCACTATCTTCTATTAGAGTTACAGAATATGTGCTATCTGCTCCCTGTTTCACAAATCTCTAGAAAGCTGGGTTTATGTCTAATTCATGTGTGGAACTGCCCTGTTGTGATAGTGTGATATATAACTCATAGTAATATGCTCAGAAAAATGTTGCTTAGATTTGAAGCTGAATACCTAAATATAGGGTACTTCAGATAACAGATTCTGTGATCAGACACACATAATACTAGTTAAGAGAAAGTTGGTTTAAAGCTCATTAAAGATGGCTTAATGTTTTTTTCTTATCTGATTAAGAAAAAAAAACAGAAAGAAAATAAAGGAATGTAGGGCACTTTTGCTCTACACATGGTACCCATTGAACAGATGCCTGCTTGTGTCGACCTCTATGTATTTGGCCTCTGAGAACTGTGTCTTAGTGAGCAGAAATGTTTTTAAGCTACAAGGGAAAAAGGAGAGGGTGAGCTCATGGTTTATACCTCTCTGGAGGATTCATCCATCTGGTCATTTATATCTTTGATTTTTTGTTCAAGTTCTTCAAGGTTGTTCAGAATTGTGATTCTGGCATCTTCCATTGTGGCTAACTCCTGAGTCCTCTGTTCTTCGCTTATCCCTTCTGGGGTCTGAAATTAATCAACACAGAAATGGGTTTCTCACACTATAATTTCCTGATTTGACTAACAAGCCAGCTGTAGATCTATTGTCTCACAACCTCCATGACCATGCAGATACTCAAAGCATCCCTGGAACAGTTTAATCTGAACTCTTATACATTTTCCCATAGAGGTATGCTATCCTCAGCAGCTGTGTCCTCAGATAAGCTCGAATAAACCAACCTCAATGCACAAATCCATATTATTTTAAAGCTAAAATAACTAAGTGGTTAAAAAGATAAGGAAGCTGTGGTATAGACAGATTGAAATGGTTTCTGCAATGTTACAAGAGAAAATTTGGCACAACAGAGAACTAGAACTAAGACAGGACTGTAGACATCTTCCTCTGGGACCTCTCAAGCATGCTGTCCACCTCCATTGCAAGCTCAATGTTTTCTCTCATCTCCTATGGAAGCCTCTTGAATTTCTATCCAAACTGTGATGTCACTGCTAGGGTTATCTGCAAATGAGAATTCATGCTTTTTTAATTTCTTTTTCAGTGCAAGGTAGGAAAACAAGGGCACATCATTTTGGCAATTCCCCAAATGATTAGAACTTCACATTCAATGTTGCCAGCTAATGTTTCACTTTTTGTTATGGCACTATTTGCTGTCTTTGTTCTACAGAACTTCTTGTAGATAATGTTTAAGACACTATCTGGATACAATGGGTTTTATGACTGAAAATAGGACACATTCATTTATTTCATAAAATACTGAGTTCCTTGGCAAGGAATGAGAAACCCAACCAACAAATTAAGTGAAAGAGGGCATACATATAGTCTTGAAAAAAGTTAATGGCAAAAACTCAAAGAAGAAAGGAATATTGTGGATCATAACACACAGCTCAAATATGACCGCCTATTGTTTGAGAAGAGAAACGTAGTAAAATTAAAAGAGCCTCTTCTTCCTAGAATTTCAGGTTAACAATCTTGGGTATCACCTGGTGGTGTCTTTCGGACATGCCAGTATTGACATACCATGTATTTAATTCTTATCCTTCTTTGAAAAAGAAAGAATATTTTGAATGAATAAGTCAGTAATTAGGCAATTTTACAATTAAAGATTGAAAACATCGACCCAATTAATTATTGAAGACTAATTACTCCCTAATCCTTAAAAAGAATATTCAGATAAACCAAAATAACTGTTGAAATTTACTTATACCTCACTAGGTTTATTTAACTTATTTATCAATCCTGATAACTTTAAGAAAACATTCCATCATGTCGTATTTAATGTGTTCTTTACTCATATTCTTTTTTCTTTACTTTGTAGCTACTTAAGGAGATTAAATAATAGAGCATACAATATCTCAGGGTGGTTAGAACAAGGGAACCCGGTTTTTCCAAGCTTTGACATTTTGCTGGGTTTAATTGTCACTCAAGTCCAATATTTTATCAAATAAAACAACTGCTGACCTTTTTATCACAAACAATGGAGCTCATTGTCTTAATACTTGGGCGCTTATTTCAGGCTGTGAGGAATGCCTGCCACAGTGAATGGCATTCCAGAATCACTGACAGACATCCCAGCAGGAAAGCTCAGGAAGGCTAACATCCTGTTGGGTCAACATTACATATTAGGTTTCCACTTCCAAGGCGGTTTAAAAATATCTCTCTCAGTGGTGGAAGCAAAGCATTAAGAAAAGACAAAACAACTGAACAATCTGCAAAGGATAAACTTTATAAGTAAGTAGGGGGATAAAGGGATAAAGATAATAAAGAGCAGCCATGATGGGTATTTGCACATAACTAAAAAATTTTTAGAAAATTGAAGTTTCTAAAACAATAAAAGCTATTTATAGAAATACATGGCATCTAGGAAATATCTGTGAGATTTTTTTTTTGGCTGTGTATAAGAAGGAAAATCAAAAGGCATTCTAAGACAGAATGTTTGTGATAGAATGAGGTGAAAACATTATAATCTTATTAATTAATCAAATAAAGAAACCCTATAGAGAGCCAAGGTGCAGCAGCCAATGAATTGTTTCTTTTATGGTGACAAAAAAAAAAAAAAGTGAAAATGTAAATGTAAGTTCATTTTAACTTCTTTGGGATTTTTTTATAGTAATGGATAGAAAACACTGATATAGTGACATTTTTAATAAGCACATTACACATACATATGCATCCTCAAATATGCCATCTCTGAGGTAATCTAATCCACACAGAGAAAGGTGAGAGATAGTAGGGACAAGATACTTTCCACTTGTCCCTTTTTGGGGCAGATATCTTGTTAGAACCCTCTTGCAACCAAAGGAGTTGGGGGTGCAGAACTTTCCACCATAGATGGAACAACTGGTCAGAAAGAGGAGGCGGGAGCTACTCCATTCAGCTTTTGGTTCAGGTGGTGGTTGGCAGGTTCACAATGGCCCTTTAAACGTAGCATATTTCCAACTCCTGTGCATAAGTAAGTGTTGGGTAAAATAAGTTCCAGAATGCTGAATCTCAGGCTTCATTAATAATGTTAAAACCTTCATTTAGTTAAATAAATTTAGAGTGGCTTTCATATTCCTCCCTTCCACATTTATTCCTGAATTGATTATCATGAATATTATATACTTCGTTAAGCAAATAATCCAGTGAAAAGATTACCAGAAGAAGAATATCCAAAACAAATGGTCAGGGTTTTTCATTTGTTTTGAGTCTTTTGTCTTTTTTCTTGAGTTAATATGTGCCTCCCTGTCTCTGAAAAGTAGTAAGTGAAAACTCTTTCCTTTAGACCTATCAGCCTCTCACTTGCATTATAAGCTGCTGCAGGGTAACCTGAGGTGCCCCTGAAGTTTCCTATCTTAAAGGAAGCAGGACTTATGTCTCTTGTAACAATGGATGCTGCTCTAAGCTTCAGAGGTCTCCTATTCCACAGGAGTATATTTGAGAAATTAAAAACATCTGTCAGGATCTGCCTGTTTACACATCAACAGCTTTCTTGTCAAAGCCTTCTCCAGAAGGAAACCTGTCTCCCAAAAGCAATTTCCAAGAGAGCACACAGCTCAATGTTTTTAACAAAATAGAGCAGATGTCCATCAAGGGAGAGATGTAGAAAAATTTAAGATGAAAAGTCAGTCACAGATTTCTAAGGAAGCCCAATGGCTGACGACAACAGATCACATTTTTCAACTGGGTCAAACACTTAGCCTGAACAACTGACAACTTTTGATTCTTCCGTGTTCCATCCTTCTCCCCATCCTAACTTTCTAACAGTTTTAACTTTCTAGCAATAAAGATAGATGCCCTATTCAGGATTTCTCTCAACTCAGAATTAGTAAGGTAAATACAGTCATTCAAAGAAGGGATTGAAGTCCAACTGGATTTAATGGTCCAGAGTCCTAATGTATGTGATAGGAGGACTTGGCAGGCAGATAAGGACTTCTGACCAGGAACATCCAAGATAAGTCTTGCTGAAGTCAAACAAAAATGAAGAACAAACATACAAACTCCAGAGCCCCACAGACCCAGTGTGGAGCCCAGGCAGGACCAGGAGAGCCCCATCAACACCCTCAGAGGCTGCACTGCCCCTTTGAACACCCAATGCCACAGCCCGCACCTCCCAACCCCCCGACCTGACACTGCATGGCTGAAAGCAGATGTCTCCATCTTGGGACACCTTCATTGCCATCTTCAGTTGTGGTAACTCCCAGCTTGGAACACTGGCTGCACAGGTATCCATAGTCCCCAACTCACCCCTCCCCCTGGAAGCTGTTAACCTGGTGTAGTGACTGCGCAAAACAAAACATTTCTCCGAGACAGATTTGCAGACCCCTGAGCACAACCCACAAGACCTCCTGGGAGAAAGGTCTTTCATTTAGGAAGTAGAAAGAAAGAGGGTGAGTGAAATACAGTTTAGAGACTAAATTAGAGACTAGGAACTGTGAGGTCTACAGGCGATATAAGGAGATAAGACCAAGCACCCACATCACATGAGCGGGCCCCAAAGGAGATGCTTGGGGTGCAGTCTTTTTATCTGGGACCAACTGGTGCCATACCCCACTTCCAGGTGCCCTGCACCCAAGACCAACCCTTCCACCCTGGTAACCTACAACATCCTGAGGGTGGAGATACCAGCAAATAACAGAAAACACCACCTATTGGAGGAGAAAGGAAGCAGGAAAGATTCCGATATTGAACCAAAACAATCCTTGTTTCTTCTTCAGGACTTTTTTTTCTTTTTTATCCCTCTCTATTCTCCTGCCCTCACATCCCCAACATTTGTGAAACCAAGTGCTGTGCATGAATTAGGATACTGAGGATGGGGATGTCTGAATAGTATATTACAGTTGTATTGTATATTCTTTTATCTCCTGTTTTTACATTTTTAAATTTTTTTAAATATTTATGTGTGTTTTATATACTCTATTGTCTTCCCACTTACTTGTCTCCCCAAGATCACTTCCTCTCTCTTCCCCTGCTACTGTCTTCTTCAGATTTCTTTTTCATATGTCCTAAGATCTAATAACTCTATATCCTCACCTCCTACCCCCTCAACATCTTATCCTATACCTCACTCCCGGTTCTTTGTCCACCATCAGAAATTGTAAATCCTTTTGCAAACCTACTGTTATATTGTAGAAATCAATTGAACTCACCACTTCTGTATATTGTGACAAACTGTGAACGCCTTAATAGCAACCATTTGGTTTAAGGTTGTATATTAGGATCATTAACATTGTTCTTCCCCTCAAAGGAGAGGTATTGGAATCTTGCAGGGGCACTATAACCTAAAGTGTAAAAAAAGGTAACACCGCGGATCTGCAGTGCTAGAAGGAAAGACACACAACAACATGAAAAAAACAGGGAAGAAAGTGCCCCAAACAAATCAAGATACTACATTATTAGAATCCATGGCCAGCACAGCAGAAGAAATGACAGAGAAGGAGTTCAAGATGTACATAATTAAAATGTTCTGTGAATTAAAGGATGATATAAGAGAGCAAATACAGGCAGTAAAAGGTCATTTAGATAAGAGCTACATAAGTAAGTACAGGAAGCAAAAGATTACTTCAATAAGGAGATGGAGGTTACGAAAAAAAAAAAAAAAAAAAACAGACAAAAATCCCTGAAATGACAGAAACAATAAACCAAACACACCAACTCCTCTGAATATGACTATGTGATAAACTGCTATCAGAATTTAACACCATGATGTTTCTCTCAAAGAATCAATGTGCACCCTTTCCTTATAACAAAAATTCCCGATGTGTCCTTTTCCGTTGTTATTGTTCTGTGGTCATAATCACCAAGAATTCAGAGTGGGACTTAATGGTAAGATTACTTAAGTTAACTAATTAATCCTATTTATTCTTAAATAAATAAATTTACCTTATAATTATGGCACTGTTTTTCCTTTTATTTTGGTGTTCTAATTTTAGTTTAATAAAATATATATCTTTTATTGTAAGCTCCTTCAATTCCTTTTTAGAAAAGAATGGGGAAATTTTTAAATTGTGCAAAAATACTTCCATTACTACCACTACTACTACTACTACTACTAMTAATAATAATAATAATAATACTAACGATTGCCTTTGAACCCAATTTAGGAAATCCTAAAATTGATAAGACATTTTTAAACCAACTACAATCAGAAAACTAAGTAATAATTATCATTACAAATAAATGTTAAACTCTTACATGCAAAGCAAAACAAACATACAAACAAAAATCCCATAAAGTCAATGGGATAACCACTCATGGTGATAGCTTAATTTGCCTAATTTGCCTACAATAGCTCTTCTACAATAAAACACCGGACGAAACAATTTTTAATAAGTGGATTGAAAAATACATTAACAATTCAAAATGTGAAAATATGCCCTACTGTATGTATAAAGATAAATTTGAATACCTATCAATATGATGAATTGAAAAATTTTGATAACATGCAACTTTGGCCAATGTATGGAGATGAAAGTATGTTCATAAACTATTAGTGACACTGTCACATGGAAATATAGTTTTTAGAGAGTGTAATTTTGGAAAAATTGATTAAAATGAGTGAACCTACAGATGCATTTGGACAGTATGCAAAAAACAAACATATATATATATATATATATATATATATATATATATATATATATCTCCTAGAATGTTGGCTGTGGATTTTATTAGCAAACAACTTGGAATAACCCACATGGTATCTTCAAAATATAGAATTCAATTTCACCATTAAAAAAATGGAGTAAGGTTGTGTGTACTAATATGCAAAATGCCCAGGATATATAGTAATAAGGATAAATGCATACTATCATGGGTGTGCATATGTGTGCCTATGTATGCCTATAATATGTGGTTGTTTGTGAACAGAAAATATTAGGAAGACAGGTGAGACATTTAACTATACTTATCTCTCAGGTGTACAACTGGGAGTGGAGAGGGAGAAACTTCATTCTTCTCATCTGTACTGAATATTTTTTACAATGTAAATTGGTTACTTATTTTTTACTTATTAGTAAACACTCTAATTTTCTAAACCTTATTCAGTTGATTATCTTTTACATTGATTTTTCACTGAAAATATTCTGGAAAACGTGTGTGATAAAATCTCTGGTTTCCAGCCAAAAGCACAGGCATATCCCTAGGCTCGAAATCCTGGTTTCTTTGCTACCCGGCATTACCTTTGGTAAGATACTTAGGTAGGAGGACTCGCTGGAAGCTTTCAGAAAGGCAGACTGGGGTGTTGGGGGAGTCCTGGTGAGGTCACCAAGCAGTTCATCGTTCCTGATGTTCCTGGGGGCGAGGAAGCTGGCACTGCTCTGACTGAGGCTCCCAAAGCCCGCCAAATCCGCATTGTGGAGAGAGCCCTTCCGGTGACACCTGTATCTTGTGTCAGGGCACACCAGGGCTTCTTCAAACACGGACTCCTCATCGGAGATCTGCAGCTTTTCAAGTTCCCTGTTGATTTTCTGCACATCTGCCACGGTCGTGCCTGTGGACAAGCGACTGTCAGGCTTTGTGTACTCAGCACAGAGACTGAGGATGGTCTCCAGACGCTGTCTTTCCTAGAGCACAGAGAGAAGGGCAAGGTCAACGAATTTGTGAGAATGGAGACAACTCCCAATATAAAGGCTGTCAACCCACAGACACTTGGCTGGAGCTGACTTTGCATCATCTTTTAAGGATGTATTTAAAGATCAAGATGAAACTGTTTGCAATGCCTGGTTTTGTCCTTGTTGATCTCTATATCTCAGGATTGACTCTAGTGCATATCTTAGCACTCGGGAAGCCATTTCTTATGACTAAATCTCTAAATACTCCAAAGATGTTTAAAATCTTCTCTTCCTATCCATCCTTTACCACCTTCTACTTATCTACCTATTATTCACTATTAAACACACAAAGAGAAAAAAAGTACTTAAAAAAATCTTCTAATTTAAAAGATACATCTCTATCTTGCCGGGCCTGGCAGTGCATGCCTGTAATCCCAGAGGCTCAGAAGGCTGAGGGAGGAGGATCATAAATTCAAAGCCAGCCTCAGCGTCTTAGCAAGGCCCTAAAGCAATTCAGCGAGGCCCTAAAGCAATTCAGGAAGACCCTGTCTCTAAATAAAATATAAAGAAGGGCTGAGCATGTGTCTCAGAGGTTAAGCATCCCCGGGTTCAATCATCAGTACCAAAAAAAAAAAAAAGATATATCTCTGTCTTCCTAATTTTCTTGAAGTGTTTCAAAATTTGAAAAACTTTTTTATGCCTGGTTATCATGTAAAGATCTTTTCTACTACTTTCTTATGTGAATAATTGAAATTATTTAAAAAGTACAAATGTTGCACTAAAATGACAATTCCACAATAAATCCAAATAGATATCAATGTAACTCAAATTCTAAAACCATTAAACATTTGATTCATTGAGCTGGAAAATAAAATGATAGTTCATTTGCTTAAAAAAAAATCAACATATAGGCCATTGATGTCTAAAATAGTCCTACGACATGCCCCCTTGACACATGCCTCATGCAGAACAGACATTGATGCTTTTTTATTTTAGGTAGATTAATTACATATTGTGAGCAATGGGAAGCAATTTACTAATTGCCTCTCATAAACCTAGACAGCATTGTTTGGGGTGGGGAACCTCAATATGTTTACCCTTCACATTAATTCTCATGCTGAAATGAAAAAAAAAAAAAGAGCCTAAAACAAAGGCTATCTGTTGTGATTCTATTTACCACACTGAAGGAAGACTCCAAAAGCCCTCCACATAAAAATACATTCCAAACTGCTGATCAGTAATAAAACAGGAAAATATTAAGCAGCACTAGACAGCTTTTTTCATTCCAATTTTAGCTAATTTGTAAAGTCAAAATTCAGATGCAGTTAGTTATTTTATTAGTTGAGGTAGAAACAAGTAGAAAAGTCAAATAGGAACAGACCAACTCCCTAGTTACCATTAAACCTATTAATTAAATGACAAGTTAGAAGTCATGTAAGGTATATCTGACTTATATCTACCCTCTAAAGTACCCCCCTGAAAAAGGGGGCAATAGCTTGATCAAAGAGACCTTTAAACTAGTTCCCATAAACTCCCACCTCCCTTTCACTGCCTGAACTTCTGGACTCCAGCTGCAGCTCGGTCCTCATGGCCTCTTCCCAGGGCAGGCACTCATGGCCACACATCCTCAGCCCCAGGCTCTTCGGCACCCTGTCCATCCAGCAACCCTGCTGCTTATTTATCTCTACAGCTGCCACCAGCTGCCAAGCCCTACCCACTTCAGCTTTATGGGGAGGGATTGCCAGGATGCAACCTTCATTGCTTTGTTTTAAACTTCTCCAACAATAAAGAAAATTCTACAAGGAAATACTCGAACAACTTGCAAAAATGTAAGTGGGGAGAGGGACAGGAGCAAAAAGTTATCTTACCCTTTCTCCACAGCATCTGCATTAGAGGCTAATCTCCAAAGAACAGTTCCCTTTCTGGCATTTAGATAATTAAGTTGAAGCACCTAACCTCAGCCTTTATTAATCTTCATAGATCTTTATATGCATATATTAGTCTTGGCATGAATTACATTCAGGATTATCTAAAAGTTATCAGTTTCCATTGATCCAGTGAAGGCTGCTGTCTTCAAAAGCATGAAAGATACTTCTGCCTAGACTGGAACACATAGCAAAATTCCTCCCACATCCTTCCCCAAATAGTTTCTTTTGCTGCCAGGGCTATTGCTTAATTCCAAAGGGAATAAATGATCCTAGCCTTATGATGAATGCTATTTCAGACAGTGAAACGCAGTATTCAAAGGCTTGTGCACAGGAAGTTTGGTCTACTGGTATGTGTCTCTCTCTATTCTCATCACACCATTCACAGCCAGTCTGTTCAGTCCTGAATCTCTCTCTCTCTCTCTCTCTCTCTCTCTCTCTCTCTCTCACACACACACACACACACACACCACACACACACACACACACACACACACACACACACACACACACCACAATNCACACACACACACACACACACACACACACACACACACACCACAATGCTGCTCACATGTCTAAAAGAAATCCAGGCTGTGCTGAGACACTCTGGCCCCATAAAAGCTACACCGAAGAAAAATAAACTGATGTCGAAAAATACGTCAGAAGAAAGTCTGCAAGGCATTTCAGAAAGCACTTCAGGAAGCCTTTTAAGGAAAACCCGAACAGAAATTACCCTCCTAAGATAATACTCCCTTCAGCCCTCTGAATTCTGGCATCTTATTTCTTCTTATACATCATCTTATTCTGCAGCTGCCACCAGAATAATATCCTTCACTCTGTGACCCAAAAGAAGAGTAATGATTATGGATAAGGACTCTCTGAGAATCAAAGAGGGTGATGTTAATAATGATGCTGAAATCTCAAATACAAACTGGAATTGCTCTCAGCACTGAGATGCACAGCGTCCTCCCCAAAATTCAACTTTCCTTGAAGTTTCACCTGGAAACCTACAAATTCAGGAGGCTACCTTCTTTAAGTTCTCCAAATCCTACCCAGTTTCCCAAATCATCCATTTATTATTATTTTTTTAAAGCTACCAGTACAAAGACTAAATACCCGCAAATGACCAGAAAACACTGGTGCTAAGGATTTAAGATTAGGTCACTTTGAATCAAATTAGTTAAAATATTAAAAAATTTGTGTTTCCCTTCTCTTCCCTCCATCTTCATATCCCACACATCAAAAAAAGCTTTGAAGGGGATTCAGATGTTAGGAAAAAAATACCTAAAAAATATTGCTATTCAATTGTTTTTCTCTTAGAGGTTAAAAAAAAAATTGTGAACTGGGACTACGTTTTTGGACCTCAGAGCTTTCTTTCTTCTTAAGAGGCATGCATCTGACATTGCCCCACTGCAGCTACATAGCCATCCACATTCTGCATGCACCCTGTCTCCTATATCCAACACCAGTCCATCTAGGCCTCAGGACTGAATGTACTGAATAAAAAATGAATTATGTCCCGGGAGTTTGGAAGGGTGAGGGAACAGGATTGGGAGTTCAAAGTCAGCCTCAGCAACAGCGAGGCACTAAGCAACTCAATGAGATCCTGTCTACAAATAAAATACAAAATAGGGCTGGGGATGTAACTCAGTGCTTGAGTACCCCTGAGTTCAATCCCCAGTACTACTACTACTACTACTACTAMTAATAATAATAATAATAATAATGTAGAGAAACAACTGTTGACACCTAAGCACATGTGAAATCTTTATTAAATCATTCTGTTGTATGTTGGGTCACTTATTGCATACAACAAAAGGTTGTAATACTTAGATATAATTAAATTGAAATTAGTTTTTTTTTTCTTTTTAAGACATGTACTGTAAGTATGGTTTTACTTTTCTCTTCCATTAACCCTAGGGATTCAATGTCTCCATAATCTTCTTTTTTTTTTTTTTTAGATGTATTTGTATCCTAAAGTTATTCATTTGTGAAAAACCTGAGTCTTTCATGTTTAAATCCATAATCTTCTTGTTTGACAAAAAATTTATTAAGTTACTTGCTGCCTAGTAATGTGCTTGGGATACATAGTTTTTAAAAAGACATTAAAAAAGACAAATTTGTTTTCTTAATTTTTGTATCCACCATCAAGTCCTTAACAGGAGGTCCGAATAAGTGATCAGTTACAGAAACAATGGTAACAGTTTATGGAAAACCTATGGATTCACATATGGGGAAACAATACACAAAAATTACAGAAAATAAATTTGATTTGAGTCCTTAAGGATAAATATAAGTCTTGTGGTATGTTGGGGCAGTGGGTAGGCAGGGCATGTCCTTGAAGGAATCACAGAACCAAGGATACAGAATTGAGGAATGTCATGGTAGGCTCAGAAATCAGCAACTAGACTGTAGCTAGAGTGAGGGATTCTCAGCTAGGAAGTAGGATGAGGTTCCTATATAGAAATGGGCCACCTATCTTCCTCTTCAAGGAATTCCAACAGTTCCATATAAACTTTTGGAAAAAATTCCTAAAATACATCAATAAGAGTCATAAACCCTAGTTTAAAATGAGCGGCAGAATAAGAAGAGGTAGCAAGTGTGAAGAATTCCCAGGATTTCACCAACACATGCTGGTGTGTTAATCAGGTGGGATAGTCAGGAGGAAAAAGAAGCAATGGCTGAAAATCTTTTATGTGAGTTTATTTGGTTTTATAGTTAAATCCCTGGGGGTAGTAACTGGGGCAAAAAATCTCTTCTGTTGCCCATCTCCAAACTCAATGTGGACCTCAGACTTGCACTGACCAGTGAAATTTGAGAAGCAGTGTCATTCCTGCATGAACAGTTAAGTACATAATTCATTAAATGCCTTGCTTTGCTATGGCAAAGTGACCCTCCAGATGGTGCTGTCTCCATCACCCTGGGTCCCAAGTGAAGAGATGAAATAGAGGGCTCAATCAACCCACACTGGCTATGGAGTATAGGGGAGAAATAGATCTATGTTGTAATAAACCTCCAAGATACATTTTTCTTTTTTGCTTTTCCTTTTCCAACAGAAGAAACTCATTATGATTGATAAACTGT